CACTCTTTCAGGTACGAAAGAGGTGCTAGAATTGTGAGATCCAACTTTCTTCTTTCTCCAAGGCATCCTCTTGAGAAGCATCTTCTCTACAGGTGGAGTTTCTTAGCTATTGTTTAGTGTTGCCCACTAAGGTGGGTAAAAATGACACGACTTTTGAAATATGTAAAGCACAGAAGTGATTTTTAGGAAAATTCTTATCACAGTTACTTCATATACTTTTGTGATGACTAATCAACCATGTGCAATTTAATATCTCAGAAATCTAATCACTCATAATTTGCTTAGATTTTGATTAGGGTCTTTTGATTTCCTAAGAATCTTTTTTTTTTTTATGCTCCTTTTGGATGTATTCTTCAGTGGGGAATTTTGTGATTTCTGGGTACTTTTTACATGAGTTGTTCAAATCTGTATGTCAGGGGAGTTTTCCCACAAAGTTCACTGTTAAGTTGCTGACATCAGTCAAATGGTTTGTTGCTGCTGAAATGAGGCACTGCAGTCACCCCTCTCCGTCTCTGCTCTGTGCTGGGCTTCTAGCGAGCATAGATTTTCCCGGTTTAATTTACCGAGCAGAAGGCTGTTCACTTTAGCAACCTGGTTGGTGAGCTGAGTTGGCTCAGTGAAAACCTGTTAACACCAGAGCTGGAGCAAGAGTTGTGATGGAGCCTCAGCGTGCAGCTGAGCTTGGCTGGGGAGTGAGAGAGCAGGACCTCCTCCCCCTCTCTGGTAAGCTTGCAGATCAGTTAAGTCCTAAAGTGGAATTTCTCCATGTGTGTCACCTTTAATAAGAGCCGATAACCTTGCCTTCCTGTTGGCTCTCTCCACCTTGTTCTAGAATGGCTCTTTATGAAGAGGAAACTGTAGAATTTTAGAAGAGTGTAGATCAGAAGGGACCTCTGGATGTCATTTGGGCCAGTTTCAGCACAGATCAGGGCAAACATCAAAGTTGTCATGAGCATTAAAGTAGCTGTTGCGTAGCATCTCCAGAGGTCTATGTCTAAAAGAGTCTGAACTCAGTCATTTTTCTGAGGCATTCAGTGGCACTGATGATTTTATAAAATTAATCAAAAATAACAAATGTAGAAAAATGTTGTAACTCCTATGATTTAAAATTGATCTTTTTTCTGTCTATTAGTGGTCTAGATTTTTAGAAGTACTTTATTACATATGCTAGATACTTGAAATTAGACTGATTATTTTTTCCCATTTCAGATGATCATATAAGATAAAATACTAAGTCCTCCTAAGAGTAGTTTTTTGTATTTATACATATCACATTATGTAATGATAGACTGACATAATCCATGTTTATGAATTCTTTAAATGATTTTAAATTTTCTACATAATAAATTTAAAACTTTGTCAGCGCAACATGCATGCGTGGCTCAACTAGTGAAAAAGCAGCTTATAAATTCTGCAGCATTTAAGGCAATAAAAATGAGTTCCCAACAGTCTTAGAGGGAGCCAACCTTGTTCTTGTTTCAAAAATGGAGAAAAACCTTGAGACTTAGGGAGGACTTAAGAAGTTGCAAGGAATCTGATACCTTCAAAGCTGTTGCCAATTTTACTCCGAGGAGGTTAAACTGCATTGCAGTGCTGTCACTTCCACTACATGCTACTTTGAGAATTTTTGCTGCTGAGTCGTAGAAAGAATGGGATTTGGAGATCGTTTGAAATATGTAGGCATGTAAGTAAAGAATGAGGGGAGAAGCAGCTACTTGTGAAATACCAGTCTTACCAAAGGAAAAAAAATAATCAAGGAATATCGAGTGATTCTTTTTATTTGCAAGCAAAAGTTAAACCTTCCCCTACTACCTAAAATCATAAATAGTAGACAAGCATAGTATTCATAATCCGTATTTTGTCAGAGGACAAGTATTTGAACTTCTTTTGGAATTGGCTTATGCAGCACTGAAATACTAAGTCTGAATTTTGTATTGATGAAATGAATATATGTCTTTGTCACTGGTTGGCTACCCTTGCTAAGCGCTAACAGCTGTTATAACTCTTTAGATATCTACCATAACTGAAAGCTTTACAGAAAGGTAATTGCAAGTCTGTGGTCCCTTTTCTGTGGGGACTTAGCCAGAACAAATGCAGGTAGATGTGTGTGATATGTTACAGTGACACCTGACTGCTGCTCCTGCTTGAAAATGATAGAGTTGGAGGATTCTCTTACGTGGGATCACAGCAGATGCTGCTTGATAGAGGAAAGAGAAGGATGTTTTAGCATCCCCCCAGTAAAACTTTGCTCGGCATGGGGTTGGCAGGACAGATGGATGAAAGACAGAGCAAGGACTTGAGTTAAGGGTCCTTACCTAGGGCGTATTGCTGGAGACTGTAGTACACGCGCAGACCGTGGCAGTAGTCCTAAGCAAGCTAGCTTTGGTATCGCTGGCACGAAGCTTTGTTGCCCATGGAAAGACTGCTGCTGCAGCCCAATTTTCACCTCATTGCGTTGTGGTCTGTTTACTTTGCTGTCTGTTTTCTTTGAGTCTTTTT